CATCGGGATGGGCAGGGAACGGGCCGGAATGCACGGCCGTGACAACCGGGTCCATTGCAACGTGTGCCTGCATCACACCCTACCGGGCCCTCAGCCCCAGGCGATATACCTGGACGCTCTTGACCCCGGGTCAGTCCCTGACAGTACCTGCCCTGCTTGCAGACCAGCTGGAACTTGTGAGGCCTTGTGCTAAGAAAGAAAAACAAAAAAATTACATGTATTAGCATCAGGGACCTCATGGCAGTAAGCGTTTTAAGATGCTGGCTACTCACCTTGCCTTTGGACAACCCAGCCACCTGCGCCTGCTGGCACTTTGCCTCTGCCTCCTCTTCCTCACGCCTCTTCTTCTCTTCAGCCACCCACCTAGCTGCCTCGGCTGCTTTCTTGGCTGCCTTACACCTCACCCGCTCATTGAGCCTTGCCTTGTCAGGATCCGGACCCCAGCTGGGAGTGGCCAGAGGGTGAGGCCGGGTGTGGAAGCTGGGGTGCTCTCCCCAGCTGTTAACTCCTCAAAGTCGCTGAGGGGACTAGCCTCAGCCTTCACAGGGAATGAGCTGAGAAGAAGGGTAAGCTTCTCAGCCCCCTGTGAGGCCAACACAAAAGGACCCTAGGAACTATACAGTTCCCGCTTGCTGCCGACTTTCCATAACAGGTGTGACCCGTGGGAAAGTTCTGGGTGAGCTGCTCACCCAGAATGTTCCCACGGTGTAGGAGAAATAATATTCAAAGAATAAAACAATGATCTATCAGAATAGTCAATGAACAGGTGACAAGTTCAGACGTTTAACAGATCTCATGATCTTTATGAGACTGGACAGACATTAGATCATTATAAATTATCTACACCCATGTAGTATGAGATTTAATCTACTACAATCATGCCTAGAACTTGGCATAGGTGTAATATTCAAAGAATATAACCCTACAACAAGAAAATAGCACATAGACGGCAGAATAAGGAACATTGGGAAAGAAATGTGAATATCTCGGGAACCAGTAAACTTTTGACTGTAATCTTTTTACCATCTGGAAGGACTGTTTCTTAACTTTATCCACGGTTTTGTTTCATTCTAAAAGCTTCAAAACTGACGGATATATCGCTCAAACGGCGAAACACCTTATAATTCATATATATTTATTTGCTAATTCTTACAAAAAGTAATGTGACTCAAGGGAAATATATTGGCGCCCGGAAGTCTGGCGGACCGAATACCATATGATAGAGTATTCCCCGGCGCGGGCGGACAGTTTTTGATCACATCAGAAGAGGAGAAAATGCTAAAAAAACGGATCTTGTATATTTTCCCATGATTCATCAAAACTTTTTGATTTTAAGCTCAAATAAATCGGAACAAAGGAATGATTGATGATCTGGATCTCGGATCATAAGCATGAAGTGATTCAGAAGTCCGCGGATCAGTTAATTAATTGGGAAGGCTCTAGAACATTAGTAATGATGCAGCTTCACAAAAAGGGGTCAATTAGAGAACAGTCTAGAAAGTTCCTTTATAGCCGAGTCATTTCTAAAGATAACCGTTCGTAATTAAGGCGGTGTAGAGCATAGCTTCAGCGCTACAAGATCCCGCTGAGATCGGCCCAAAAGACAAAGAAATGAATTACTTATTGCTGAGTCATGTCCTAAGTCCATTATTAAGCTTACACAGCCCAAGCCCCTATATCATTCTAGAACTATCTATAATACAAATGTAGCACATGTAACTAGTGCGAGGCGTGGGAGTAGAGAGGCCACTGAAAAGCATAAAAGGCCACCGCTTCTGCCCCCTCTCAAACCTCAGGTAGAAATAAAAGTTTAATTCTCCTCACCAGTGGTTGGTTCGTTTGCTCCAAAAGATAAAAGCAAATATTAGTTGTTAGCTAATATAAAACTAACACGTCACTCTAAGCGTGAGTTAGGGTCAGTTAGACACAGCTGAACAAAAGTGTCATAGTGAGAATTAATGAGAATTTGGTGGAGGGACTTCTTAATTGAATAATCTCTCAGCAATATTTGGTTATCACACCACAGGAGAAAAGTGAGCGATCCTGAACCTGCTAGATAACTAGCACACACTCTAAGCGATAGAAAGAGCAGTTTGGTCACTCCTGTATTGAGTAACATTTATTGTGGAATTTTATTAGTAGTTTTCCTTCAGTAAATTATCAGGAAAATCACGTCCTACTGAAAAGTGGTATATCTAGGTGTAATATTGACTAGAAATCATAGTAAAGTCAATATAGAATTTTATTCATAGATGATCTATACGTCAGGTGAGATCGTTGGGGGGGTGTTTATTGTTGTTTAGACAGTGAACAATTATATATTTGGCAACCAAAACACGGTCAGTACGCAAATCAGCACACACTCTAATATCGTTATTGGATGTAGGAAACTGGTTACATAAGGTGATCCAGCTCCGCTCCTTCAACGGTCATGGCTGTACATTTCTGGGTGAGTCGCTTGCCCAGAACATTCCCACGGGTTCGCGCACATGCATCATTGTGTGAAACAGTGGGGGGAAGGATAGGGGGAATAGGGAGATGTGGGGAGAGGGTGGTTAGGGAAAGGGTGAGGGTGTCTGAGGGTGAGTGGGGGAGAGGGCTGTGCCCTGACATGCCTGCATCATGGCAGGTTCATCATCTGGATGTCCTCTTCCTCCCAGGACACGATGTTGTGGAGCTCAAGATGTTTAGACATGAGGGTGGAGTATTGAGTAGAGGTGTTGGGTAATGACTGGACTTAGTCAAATTGATGGAAAGGATTTTTGATTTCCCACATGGATTCAAATTTGGGATTGGCCGAACAATTCCCACATGCACCAATTGGGCCTCCAGGGGCATCAGCCCTAAGAAGGGGATACTGTCACAACCCGACATATCCACCACTTCTGTCAACGCATCCTAGTGCCACTTGGCCCATCCCACCTGCTACTATCATCATCCGTCCATCCATCCATCCACCTGTCACCCTCATCTGCACTTTCTCCCTGTGCACGTACCTCCCAACCAAGGTTGCCCATTCGAGTGGTTCATTGTTATCCACCTGCCAGCTGGACAGCTTGCTAGATGGCTGGATGGCCTTTTCTCTCTTTTGTTCACTTGCGGACTATTGTTCTCCCTTTGCCACTCCTTGTTTCTTTATTTCCTTTTGTTGGCAAGGTTTGCCGATATTAACCATTTGTCTATTTCTCCATTCATTAATATTGCACTTGATCCACCACTCCTTCCAGGCTGGTCCATTTAGTTACTTGTGCTTATAACGCATGTAGGTTACACCAGATGTACCTCAGTTCATATATCAACTTGGATTCCCCCCCTAGTCTCTTCTCTTCATTGTAAGGCTTCTGTCTGAAATTGGGACACCAACGTAAGAACAAAGTGCAGCGCTCCACCCGAGTCGCTGAAGCTGAAGTCCCACCCCTCCAACCTTATGAGCCTGGACAACTTTGTGTGCCCTTGCAGATCATCTGGATACATGTCCGACATGTTCCGGACAAGAAGACATGGTCATTGGGGATTTGGGGATTTGAAGATTTGGGGGTGAAAGTCAGAGGCAATGGAATTGAGGGGGATAGTGTAAGGTCAGTGTGGGTTCCAACCTGGGTGACTCCTCAGTCCTCTGGCTGTCAAGATCATAGGCTGTATCAAGCTTAGATTTGACAGGGGTGAGGGTAAAGAGTAAAGAACCCTTTACCTGAGCCCGAGCCATACAAATGTAAATACAGTTGTGTACAACAAGAAATAAACAGGAATAAAGTAATAAACACTGCTCCACCATCCATTCCTTACAGATAGGAATCAAGAAAGGAAAAGTTGAACGTGATAGTACTGTAGGGTTGGGAGGCAGGACATGAGAGTGGAGGCTGTGAATGAGGACCCTGGTAACCTAGGGAAAATGAATTGCAAACCTGAGGTATTGGCAATGATAAAGGACCTCTTGCTATAGGCTTTTTGTGTCACAAAGATTCATAGGACCCACTACAGAGTAGTGGGAATTTTGTGTTTTTCTCGATAATTTATTGGTCAATTCAGTCTCAAATTATATATTCTGGAAGCTATTCAATGGGGCTATCCAACTATATAAAGTGTGTCTAGACCGTGGGAAACAGTCTTGACACCCCTCTGGACAGCAGCCAGCAATGTGCACAGACAATGAGTCACAAGTTAAATAACCACAAAATAACAATATAACAATAGTTTGGATGATGCCGCTACAATACATAATTTCAATTGCAGGAGGTCCCCAAACCAATAAGGGGGCCCCCAATACACAAGAGCCTCTTGGTGGGGTTAGCAATGCAAAATCTGTACCCTATAGGGCCTCGCCCCTGGCTGAGCAAGGTGGTCGGACAGCACGCATCAATTTTTCATCAACATTTCTCCCATCGGATAAACAGACATCGATTTTCCATCACAGAAAGTGTTGGAAATTCAACGGCTACTAAAGTGCGCAGTGGCCACTGGGTACAAGAGGAATAAGGTGGCGAGGTAGAAACTTCATTTTGTTCTATTTCATTTAAACATAGCGCCTCGGGCGCTATGATTCCTCTTTGGCCTGGCATACTACGCACTGGGTCCTTGACCATCATCTATAGAATACCGACCTTTTCGCTAAACCCTGCCTCCCTCAGTTCACTCAACGTGAAGCTGAGGTGAGAGCAGTGATTACACTAACTATTGTGATTCTTACTGATAATCGGTGTATATTAGTATTATTGCGATTAGCTATTATTTCAGAAAGAGCTGGGATTGCACCGTACTTAGATTTCCGACGGCGGAAAGGCTGCGGAAATCTTTGGCTTAAACGCAGTGAATGAGCACCCGGTTCATCACCTGGCAGAAAATTTGTGTCACGCTTGGGATGCGCCGGTAGTTGGTCGCGTGGGTCCAGTATGCGCTCGTCTCCAACAGGTAATCGGTTTCAAAATGCAATGAATGGTGCAACCTCTGATACGGAGTTTGCCAGGGATTTTGAAAACGCAATAAAGATAACCCCACACACTGCTCCCTTCATGTATGCGCGCTGTAATGGCCGCACTGCCACGTCATCATGAGATTATGAGTAACAAAATAGAGTACAACAAATCGGATAATCGGATAGTTCACGGTGACTTCTCCTGATGAGACATTTTTTTTCTTTTGGCTTCGTGGCAGTAAGGGCTCGTGGAAAATAAAGAGCAGTCTTCGCTTCGCCGCCGTAGAGAAGGAACCTCTTACCAGTTCTTCCCAATGACCCCCTTTGAAAACCTTTCTGGTGGCTACTGGTATGGCATTGTTTTTATGGCTATGTGGGTTAGAGTTATCGTTATCAACAGACTTGGCGTGCTAAGTTTTCTCCTCCAGATTCCTGGGGATCACAACCATCCAGTCGAGAGCTTATTTTCTGAAATTTCCCGGCGACCCCATCGTGACGAAAATTCTAGTATGTTGTCTCATAACGCTGATTTGTCGCCTAAACTCCATCCGACGATTGCTACTCTGTCCAGGTTGTGGTGCTATTGTGAGTCGGACTAACGTCGCACCATGTCTATAGCTCTGACATCGCGTATACCCCAGATTGGCCCAGGTCTTTGGTTTGTGCGTGCACCCCTAGTACTCCATGGCTTTCATTATCAACACTCATTATGTAGCGGATGCTCTGTGGTGGCCCAGTATAGGATGATCGTTATTCGCGTAGACTCAGCATTCAAGGATTCATGGCGAGCCCACTTCGCATGCTATTTACAGTCCGCCTGACTTGCTGTTCAGGTATAATGCCGAATTTACTCTGAGCACGGTGTGTCCCATACTTCTACCAGCGTTCACGCCATCTCAGTTAATGCACCCAGGTCCTAGCCTCCGTCTTAGTCCAAAACTTCTTCGCCTGGCGTATAAGTAGAAGTCTGTTCCAGTTTTCTCAAGTTCGGGATGAGTAGAGCCACTCATTAGTTTATCCTCAGTGACAAAGATATGGTGGGCGATACTGGTAATTCTGTTCAGCTTGCTTAATTTTGGTCAGTAACGTTCTCACTGATCCGAGTACTACAATCTAATGGGATGTCCATAGCCTTCGGAACCGGTAAACCATCTTGTCTTTTCTGATTCTATTTCTATTGCGATACTGACCAAACTACTCCAATCTGTCGTTAGCGGTGTATACTCGAGGGTAGGTAACCATGAAACCCAGCCCAATGTGCAAGCAATGATACAAGTGTCTGTGTTCAAAGGCAACTATATGCGAACACGCTGCAGCTTCCCAAATGGAACCGGAATCCCATCATCGGTTGGGCTGCATTTCAGGGTCGTCCACATCTTTATCCATCATTGCGGAGATTCAGAGAGAGCTCTTGTAGGCTGCCACAGACACTTCAATCGCCGCAATAATGATCATCCAGTTGCGTCATAATCGAACCGGATTCCGAAGGTATGAGTTATCTTCCAACTGCGGGACGCTGGTCTGAACAGATAGATGTTGCCAGGACAGATAGAGCTATCGCAGTACTGGTTAGGTACGCTATTCATAGCGGTGCAGCTACCAGGTCAGCCATCTGGTGTTCGTCAATACGTGTGGAGATTTAGGATATATTTCTCAATAGCGTTCTTGCCATGACGGTGTTATTCCCGGTGAGTAGGAGTTTTGACCCTCTGTGGTGGAGAAAATCACAAATCGCCTCATTCAATCTAGTATATCTTTTATGGGATGCACTTCCTGCATATGTGGTCTGTAGCGGTTAGTTCAGACTCCCCATTACCCATATCACCTCTAATCCCCTCATTGTTTAGGCATTGGGAGGAGTGTACACCATCACTCTGCTAGCAAAGTAAGTCTCATGATTGCACAATGAGGAGTGCATGTTGATCGCTAATTTTTGCATCATTCTCACTGGCAGCCTGCATGGCCGTAGTCATGTCCGACAATATCTGTCACCAGGGCCTCAAGAAGATGCTGGACAGTCAATTCACTTAACCAAATTGCCCATTCTTTCTAGTCAAGGATCCAACTGAATGGGGGTCACCTGCACAGCAGTGTCACTCCTATGCCGATGCTATGTAAAATGTGTCACTTTTGATGGCATGTTCTGTTGTGGCATTGTGACTTTTTCATTCCTTGTGTGACCTTTCACTTGGTTTGTTCTTTTAAAAGTCCAACCATACCCTCTTCTTCCTCCAGTACTTGTGTCTTGGTAAACAATGTCTCTTTGATATCCTGAATGAGTCATACACTTTGCTCTTGACTGTTTTCAATACCATTTGGAATCTAGCAAAAGACATTCATTGAGTGTGGGGGATGGCCATACTAATCAGGACACCTGTTAGATACACGGAAATGCAGGTCTAAATGATGAAAGGCTATGGCCTCAGTGACTTGGAAAGGAGTGCTGTGCCCAGCAAGCACATCCAGTTGCCTTAATTTGACAGACTGGAAGAGTCAAGTGAAGAGGGGGGGGGGACTGAAAGGAAGGGTAACAAAAAAAAGTAAAGGTGACATTCCCGACTTATCAGGAATAAATCAAAATAAACAATGAATAAACAATGAAAGCGAAGGCAATTGTCAGGATCCGGACCCCAGCTGGGAGTGGCCGGAGGGCAAGGCCGGGTGTGGAAGCTGGGGTACTCTCCCCAGGTGCTAACTCCTCGAAGTCGCTGAGGGGACTGGCCTCAGCCTTCACAGGGAATGAGCTGAGAAGAAGGGTAAGCTTCTCAGCCCCCTGTGAGGCCGACACAAAAGGACCCTAGGAACTATACAGTTCCCACTTGCTGCCGACTTTCCATAACGGGTGTGACCCGTGGGAAAGTTCTGGGCAAGCTGCTCGCCCAGAATGTTCCCACGGTCGTGGCTGTACATTTCTGGGCGAGTTGCTCGCCCAGAACATTCCCACGGGTTCGTGCACGCGCGTCATTATGTGAAACAGTGGGGGGAAGGATAAGGGGAATGGGGAAATGTGGAGAGAGGGTGGTTAGGGAAAGGGTGAGGGTGTCTGAGGGTGAGTGGGGTCAAGGGCTGTGCCCTGACAGCAATAAGGCCTCCACTCTTCAGTGTATAGACAAGTATAACACAAAGGTGGTTAGACCTAAGTTGCACATAGAACAAAGCACAGGTGACATGGGTGATTAGACCTTAGCCACTCTGTGAACAAAGTATACAGCAACACAGGTGGTCAGACCTGAGCCACTCTGGAAAGAATTAATAAAACATCGGTAACAAAGGTGGTTAGACCTTTGCCACGCAAAAAATGAAAAATAAATTTCAGGCCCATGAAGGCCCACTTCTCCTTAGACAATTGTCAGGGGGGTGATGGGGTTGTTAGCCCCTAGGCCAGTAAAGGCCACTCCTCCCTAAATGATTGTTTAGGGAGCAGAGATGAAGATATTGAAGATACCCATGAAAATGGGTAAATAAAGAGTTGGGCCAGAAGCGCAAGTGCACTTATATGGCCCAGTGTTAGTAAGTGCTTATTTGCACTTAAAAACAACAGTGAGATGGCTTATTCATATTGGAATATCAATGTCCATGTGTACCAATATTCTCTTTACTAACGCAATATCAATTAAGGATATTGTATATACCTTTTGTCTTGATGCTTACTTCATTGCTGTCAAGATGTGATGATTCTGGGAGATCAGGGAGTGGACTGGAGCTTCCCCAGGAAGCCCAAGTCTGCCAGCTAGTACAAGAGTCTGAGAAGGATGTGGCCTCAGCAACTCGGAGGGGAGTGCTGTGCCTCCATTACGTCTTAGTTTGTCCTTAATTTCAGATGGCTGATGTATCTTGTAAGAGGGGAGCAAGAATCACTCATAGGGGAGTCTAGGGGTGAGGTTTTAGTTGAGATTAGAACTGAGGTACAAAGGTTCTAATCTACAGGTATATATATAAAAGCAGAGGAGAGGACTTTAGTCAAAGTCTGAAAGATACCAAACGGTTCCAAAAGACACTGAAGGTTATCCTTAATGGGGAACCAAGGTGTCAGGTTGAGGAGGGTGGAGTAGAAGGCCAAAGAGTGAATGGGAACGAGAAGTGGGTAAGAGAAAGTTAGCTGACTGAATTGAAAGAAGTAAAGGATGACTAATTAGGATGATGAAGGGTAGAGTCGCTGTCACGAACCCACCTGGGGGAGATCCGAAACGCTACCCAGGCAGGTGTGTCTGATGGAGCTCGAGGTTCCGGGTCATCTGACGGTGGGTCAGAGACAGACTGGAGGTGGGGCGGAGCTCTGAGGGTGACAGGGTGTTGAAGGGACTTGGCTTCAGCAACTCGGAATGGAGCGCTGTGCCTGTTACGTCCTCATTGTCCCCAATTTGTCAGGGGGGGCTGGTGACGGAGGAACAGAGGCCACCAGCGGAAGGGGGCCAGAGAGCCCCCCCTCACTACTTAACGATGGAGGCGTTAGCGAGGGTCAATCATTCATCACACAATTCGTTGGGTTTTATACCAAGGTGCCTTTAGACATGTCTGTCACTCAGCTCGTGGTTCAAGATGGAGCAGCAGGCAAGTAGAATGCAACAGGCATCGTGGAAGTGGGTTTGGATTCAAGGACTTAGGACTTAATATTATAACTGGGGGGAACTATTTACTAGAGTGGTATGCACGTACATATAGCAGAGATAATTGGATCCGAAGGTAAACAAAGGTTACCAAGGGGAAGGAGAAGTAAATAGAAAGACTCCACAGGACAAATATAGAATAGGCGAAAGCCTGAATTATGTCTGAGGTTTGTGGAGTGGGAGGATTAGAAACCAACTGAATGGTAAGGCCTGGGCCCATCCATGAATGAGCAGGGGACTACAGGGGGAGACATCTGGAAAGGTCTGGAGCCCGGAAGTTGTAGTCCGGAAGATTGGGTTTGTAGAAAATGTCAAATGATAAAACAATAAAGAATAACATGACTGGAGGTAGGGTAGTGTCAGGGTTCAGCACCCTGCCCTAGGGTGCCCCAGACTCCCCAACCAATCCCTTCCTTCCATTCCTTCATTGTTGCCTTGTTGTTGCCTTTCTGTGTTGTGTATCCGCATGCACGGGATAGCGTGGGAACTTTCTGAGCGAGCAGCTCGCCCAGAATGTTCCCACGGGTCACAGCCACAGTTCTGGGCAAGCAACTCGCCCAGAACGTTCCCACGCTTACTGGGCACTGCCACCTGGATGTTCCCTCCGGGTCACACTACACAACTCTAGGAGCTGTATAGTTGTGGGCATGTGACCCATTCCTTTATATAGCAACCATGCGGGGAGATGAGACCTTTACCCTTCTTCTCATCTCATGCCCCGCATAGGCAAGTGTATATATTCCCTTTCTTTTACTATACATCTCATGCCCCGCATAGTGTGAGGACAGGTTAGATAGGGGTTGAGGTCAGGGAGCCTCTGAGTCCGAGGCCGGGCCCTGACAGGTAGGAGTGGGGAGGTACCGGAGATACATGACCGGAGGCGCCGGAGGTGCAGAGACCAGGAGTAAGAAGGAGGGTGGATAGGCAAGTTGAGGGTTACCAACAACAAGTTGATCCATAACCTTTGAACAAGGGGTCTGAGGAGGTGGAGGTGTGGTAGGGGAAGTCCGGGGGTGATGCAGATGTAGATGGGAGAAAGAGCAGGAGAGAGTCAAAGGAGGAGGTAGTCTAGGATCATTGGCATCGACCGGAGGCAGCAAAGAGAGATTGGGAGGACTGGTGGAGGTCATAGGAGTCGTCCGAGACTAGGGTGGAGGGAGGTGGAAGATCCAGGATATGACAGTATCCCCTTCTTAGGCCTGAACCCTTGAAGGCCTTTTCAGTCAGGTGGATGAGTTTTGCAGCTGGAACCGAAAACATTTTTTCCATTTCCCATGTTCCATCAATCCATCATTCATCAACGATAAGGCAACTTGAATGCCAACCGATGCTGAACTCGATCTCACATCTTGGCCAGATGAAAAACTGGCTGAAAATGCTGGAGATGGGCAGGTACTCTGGGATGCCAAGTCCCAGGAATGCAGATGTCGTCTGCATCTGATGATGGAAGAGGAGGCTCATCAGCGTGAGGCAGAGGAGTCTGCCAAGAGGGAGGCCAAGGAGTGGCAGAAGAGAGAGAAGGAGGCTAGGGTGAAGGAACTCACCCAGAAGGTGTCAGGGGATGGACCCTGGGTCCCCATGACCCCTCTCTACAGTCCACAGTCTGGCCTATAAACACAGCCCATCTCAGGGCATAGCTACTGTGGGTAAGAAAGTGAGAAGAAGGTTAACTTCTCACTTTCCCACAGTGGCCCAATATGGTGAAAACTTCCGGGGATACCCGGAAGTCACATGAAGAGTGGGAACTGGGCCCGGAGCATGCGGTGCGCGGAGCATGCGGGGCAGAGCACACATGCGGGTCTGGGCTAGTCAGGGTGTGTGCCCTGACAGAAGGTGAGTAGAGAGGGTCTATGATGATCTCAAGATGGGATGGGAAGGACTGATTTCTTTTTCTTTCATTTATTTTTTGTGTGTAGCGTCGTTCCATTACTGTCTTATTACCAGCTTTGCCCAAATGGAGGCCCTCATGCGCAAGGTGCCAGAGTTATGGACTGATGTGCACCTTTCCTGGGGGGAAGTCGACATCATGTGGGGCCTGCAAAAAGGCGTGGGCTCGTTGCGAACATCCTGCAACTATGACTGGGGCATCGGAGTCAAGTTGACCGTCGAAAAAGTGGAGGGTTGAGGAGCCAGAGAGCTCAGGGTCATCCCAGGCGGGCAAGGAACATGTGACAACCCAAGATTCCATCACAAAATCCCTTATCAGGATTCAAGAGGAACTTCGATCACTGCCTGTTCTTGCCATGGCCATATTGTCATTGGTTACTGTCAGGGCACACACCCTGACTAGCCCAGACCCGGACCCGCATCCGGACCCACATCCGCCTGCTGCGCTTCCTGCACATGCACATGCTCTGCGTGCTGCATGTTCCGGGCCTGGTTCCCACCCCCTCATGTGACTTCCGGGTATCCCCGGAAGTTTGCCTGATATCGTGGCCACTGTGGGAAGATGAGAAGTTAGCTTCCTTCTCATCTTCTTACCCACAGTAGGTTGTGCCCTGGATAGGGCTGGTTACACCAGAGGCTGTGGACCATAGGGGAGGGTCATGGGGACCCGGGAGTCATCCCCTGACAGTTACCCTGGTGGAGAATCTACAGGCTCCTGTGTCCAATGGGAAATCTGAGGAGGCGGTTGGTGGTGATGGGGAGGTGAAGGTGGAGAAGGCAAGTGGTGTTGCGGCGAGTAGGAAGTTGCCGGATCGTCCTGCCATCAAGGTAGATGAGAACCTCAAGGATGAGTTGGAAGAGGTGTTGGAGTTGGGTGATTGTCAGGGTACCGAGCTGCTCGGACTCTAAGTCGAGGGATCCCGAGCCTTCGCTGGAGCTGAGGCCGAGGGGGACAGGATCAGTCTCAATGGGGGAACCCAGCAAAGCGGATTGCGATAGGGATTCCAGCTGAGCAGCGAGGGGAAGTGAGTTCATATCATTGTATATACTATGTACAACATACCTGAGCAGCGAGGGGAAGTGAGAGAAGAAAGTTATCTTCCTCACTCGCTACCCAGGGAATGATAAAGTCGGTATACCCGGCGAAGCGGGGCCGCTCTGCAGAAGGAAATATAACAAATGTCTGTGCCAGTCCGGGGATGATGATCAGGCTGTGCGGGTATGGGGCAGGTGTGTCATCAGTTGTGTGTAAGCAGTCCGGACTTAACCGGGCTGTACTCTGACATCACCCCCCCTTTATGCCACTACGTCTCGGAGTGGCTGAGTTTGCACGTGGGGCAGGAGCGGAAGGGTGGTGCTGATGGAATTCTGTGATGAGGTCTGGCGCATTTTGGGTATCACGGTCAGGTATCCAGCTATTTTCGGAACTGGGGTAGCCCTTCCACTGGACGAGGTAATGGAGTCGGCGACGGATATACTTAGAGTCGAGGATTTTCTCCACTTCATACTCTTCGCTCCCTTCGATGATGGTGGGACTCGGTTCTGGGTGTGCAGGGCGCTCTGCTATCTCATCTGGTTGGTACTTACGAACATCTGAGATTGACACAACGGGGTGCATTCGGTATCCCTTGGGGAGCTGGAGTTTCAGCGCAGCTCGTGAGACTATCTTCAGGATCTTGAAGGGGCCTAACCATTTGTGGTCTAGTTTCTTGGTCGGCCGATTGGTTGGGTAGTTACGTGCGCTGAGCCACACTTTCTCTCCTTCATGGTATTCAGGTGCTTCGCCTCGTTTCCTATCATAGTACTTCGACATCTCCTTGGCTGCATGTGCTAGGGCTGCCTTCGCCTCCTCTTGCATTTGTGCCATCCGTGATGCAAAGTCTCCAGCCGCCTCCACCATTGAAGTCTTGGGGGGTTCTATCCCCATGCGTGGGTGTTGACCTGTGTCAAGCTCAAATGGTGTATGGCGGGTGGCCGAGTGGATGCGGTTGTTGTAGCTAAACTCAGCGATAGGCAGCCAGTCTGCCCAGTCATCCTGCCTGTGGTTCACGAAGACCCGGAGGTAGGTTTCAATCTCTTGGTTGACTCGTTCTGTTTGCCCATCCGTTTGGGGGTGGTAGGCAGTGGATGGAGTGGGTTTAATACCTAGGAGTTTGCTTAACTCCCGAGAGAACTTAGAGATGAAAGTTGTTCCTCTGTCACTGATGACTTCATCTGGGAGGCCATGGTGTCGCCAGACATGCTCGAGGAAAAGGCGGGCTACACCTGCAGAGTCCATCTGAGTAGTGGTGGGTATGGCATGTATCCTTTTGGACAGACGATCAACCACTACCATGATTGCATCGAACCCTCGTGATAAGGGGAGCTCTCCTATGACATCTACGGAGACAACCTGCCATCGCCGATCTGGTATCTTGTTTGGCATAAGCTTCCCAGTCCTTTGAGCAGGGAAGGATTTCACCCGTTGGCAAGTGTCACATCCAGATATGTACTTGGCAACATAACGAGAGAGCCCTGGCCACCAGTAGTTCCGAGATACAAGCTCTAATGTCTTCCATCGGCCAGGGTGTCCAGCTACTGGGGTGTCATGGTGGGCACGAACTACGTCATGGCGGAGAAGAGGGTCCTGGGGAACATAGATCCTCCCTTGATAGAGGATAAGCCCTTCACGTAGCTCCCACCCCGAAGGCGCTTCACGACCAGATTCTAACTCACGAGTCGCACTTGCCACAGAGCCCTCGATGCTCTTGCATTCCCTCATCCGCTGCAGCAGGTCTTCCTCTCCTGTTGGATGCGAAATAGCTGCTGTAGCTCGAATGCGAAAGAGATCGGGGCATAGCAGTGTGACCTCGGAGTTGTCCTCTTCTCCTCGTGGGTGGTCCGCTCGTCGTGACAGGGCATCTGCTTTCTGCATGAGTCTTCCCGGTCTGTGTGTGAGTGTGAAGTCAAAGCGAGAGAGATGTAGTGACCATCGGGCTTGGCGTCGGTTGAGTTTCTGGGCTGACCGGAAATAGGAGAGGTTTCGATGGTCAGTGAAGACTTCGAACGGTTCTGCTGCTCCTTCCAGGAAATGCCTCCACTCGTCCAAAGCGCGGACTATCGCAAGCATCTCTTTGTCATGGATCTGATAGTTCCGCTCAACATCATTCAGGCTTCGGGACATAAACCCCACTGGGTGGTACTGCTGGTCTTCTTGAAGCTGAGAGAGAACAGCTCCAGTCGCAAAGTTAGAGGCATCACACTCTAGTCGGAAGTGCCCCTCATCTGAAGGGAAGACAAGGACAGGGGCTGAGGTGACAGCCTTTTTTAAGGCGTCAAACCCTTCTTGTTCTTCCCTGCCCCATCTCCAAGGTCTGGACTTCCGCGTCAGTGCGTTCAGGGGTCTAGCAATTTCAGAGAAGTCGCGGATGAACTTCCGGTAGAAGTTCACAAATCCGAGGAAGGATTGGACGTCTTTGACTCGTTTTGGAACTGGCCAGTTCGTGACACCTTTGATCTTTACCGGGTCCATCTCTACCTGATTCTCTGATATCACCAGCCCTAGATACTCTATCTGGGTCTGCTCGAACTTGCATTTCTCTGGTTTGAGGAAGAGTTTGTGTTTTCGCAGAGTGGCTAGCACTTCCAGGGTAACTTGACGATGTTCTTCGAGAGTTGACGTGAAGAGTAGGATGTCATCCATATAACAAATGGCAACGCCTCTGTCAATAAACTCTCGGAGAATGTCGTTCATCATCGTCTGGAAGGTTGCGGGGGAGTTACAGAGGCCAAAGAACATGACTAGGGGCTCAAACAGTCCTCGGTTGGTGCGAAAGGCAGCCTTCCACTCATGGCCTTCCTTAATCCGGACATTGTTGAAACCCCATCTGAGGTCCAAGACAGAGAAGTACTTCGAGCCTCGAAGACGGTTGAGCACATCTGACACGAGTGGGAGTGGGTATGAGTTCTTCACTGTGATTTCGTTCAGCTTTCGGTAGTCTTGAACAAGTCGGAGGGATCCGTCCTTCTTTTTAACAAAAAACACTGGGGCCCCCATTGGGGATTTAGACGGCCTGATGCGGCCGTTGGCAAGGTTTTCTTGCAGAAACTCATCAAGTTCCTTTTGTTCGTTTCGGGACAAAGGGAAGGTGCGTGACCGTGGGAGATCAGCCCCAGGTAGGATATCTATTGCATGATCCCACGGCTTCCGCGGAGGTAATGCACTAAATGCTTCCTTTGAGAAGACGTCTTCATAGAGGCGGTAGGCCTCAGGGATCACCCCTTCTGGGGGAGGCTTCTCATCCTGCCGGGCCCTCTCTGCAAATTGCTGAGAAGGGGTAGTGGTGGCCCGAATCTCCGGCACGCTGCGCGTCGACATCACGTGGACCGCGAAGACTTCGTCTCCGGGTTCTACCGATTCTACTCTCGCGGGTACAGCTCTCTGACACTCAGGTGGACATCGTGTCATCGTTACCTTCTGTCGAACCCAATCCACCTCTGGGTTGTGAAGGAGAAGCCATGGGTGGCCAACAATAACCGTCTGTTGGCCAAGGTTCGCGACAGCGAGTTTACAACGCTCAGAGTGGTCCCCAAAACCCAGGATAACGTCGACTTCTTCCGTGATGGGACCGTTCTCGTTTTGAGTCCCATCAACGTTGCGAACGGGGATGGGTGAAGCTAGGGGGGTCGTTGGCAGCTGGTGTTTGCGGACGAATTCCTTGCTGACGAACATTCCCGTGGCCCCTGAATCGAGTAACGCAGACGTCGACACAGCGGCGAGCGAAGTAGCAGACCTGAGTGAGATCAGAATGTTCATCGAGCGTGGGGTCTTCCCCGTCGTCTTTCGTGCGTCGGCTCCTTTTATTTTCGCGTTCTTCTTTCTTTGTGCGACTTTAGTAATTTTTCTCGCCTTTGCCTCGTTTACAGGTTCGATTTCGACCTTCGTACACGGATATTTACAGTTTTTTGAGGCGTTTACAGGCGAGTCGCCCAGTCGGGGCGCAGCTTTCACCGACTGGCATTTCAAAAACCCTCTTCGCGAGGTTCTTCCCCTTCCACGGCACTCCCGTTCTCAACAAGCTGGTCCTTGATCAGCTGGGTTATCGCGCGAAGGTCCTCTGGGGATAAGGACGAGGGTCGCGGGTCTTCTGGTTGTCTTATCGGCGTGGGTTCATCAACCACGCGGATTCTTTGTGCGGCCGCCGAGGGGCAGTTGCGTGCGATGTGGCCTGGTTGCCCACAGCTGTAGCAGACGCCGCTTCGTGGGTTTCGGCGAGGTTGTCGGGTTCGGTCGAGTTCCATGGGCTGAGGGCTAGTCGACGAGGAAGATGGGCTCGGCGTCTGCGTGTTGGGCGGGCGCGTCGTGTTCTGGTGAGTGACCACGGTACTGTTTCGTTGGGGTTGAGCCCGCGTCTGGTGAGGGGACGCCCCAAAGGCGCGTCCTTGGCGCGTCTGGGCTTGGAAGTGATCGAACCTTCTGTGCTGACTGTCCAAGAGCAGGGCCCGTTGCTTCCACTCTTCCCAGTTCGTTGGGAATGGGTGGGATCCGTAGATCGATTCTCGAAGGCGATGGGTAATGGCTCGTTGGAACTTGTCGATTAACCCGGCGTCTCCGAGCCCGGACACTGGTCCGTACAACTCAAAGAGCTGGATGACTGTCTCAACGGGATTGGGCCCTTGTCTTATGTCCGACAGCTTCTGCATCGCGGTCGCCGCCCGGTTTGGGTCGGCAAACATGTCTTTCAACTCTTGGAGGAAGTTCTCAAGTGTTGGGATCGCAGCGTTAGGGGAGAGGTATGCGTTAATCTTCTGGGAGGCCCACGAGGCTGCCGTCCCCTCTTTCATATGTGATAGGACGAACAAGATCTGTTGTTGATCGTCGGGATACTCGGCATGGCGGAGCGACAGGTACAGGCGGCATTGTGCCAAGA